GCACTGCTCCACCCCATGGTCCTTTCTGTTCCTCCAATGGGCCCTCCCCCCAGATCTGCAGTTTCACTCCCCACTCCATTCAGTTCCCTGCCCCAGCGCCACCTTGGAGAGGCCTTCCCTGGCCACCCTACATAAACAGCTGCCCAACCCACCCACACTCTGTCCCCCACCCATGTCCACCTGGCCCCACCCTGCCTATATCCTCCCCACACTCGTCACCTCCTGGCAGTATAGTAAAGCCAGCCCCACAGCCCCACTTTGCAGTCCTCACTGCCCTCTCTCCCCAGCAGCTAGAACAGGGCCTGTCACACAGTAACTGCTCAGGAAATGTGAATATGTGATGGAGATGCACACTGGAGATATTTCCCTACCTTTGCTCCCAGGGCTTTGGTCAGTGACTCAGTTTCTTCACTGGGGGACAGCAGGTGGGACCTCACTTACAAAACACAAGTTAAAGATGATATAACCAATTTCAAGGTGGTGACAGCAGGGCATTACCCCATGCATGCAGCCCCTCTGAGGGGCTATGCCATGGCACGGCTTGCACACCCACCAAGCCGGCCGAGTCCCTCCCCTTGAGAAGCTCCCATTCTGATGTGAAATTCAGACTTGCAAACCAGCAGTTACAGGGCAGTGTGAGTGTGCTGGGAGTGGGGACAATGCAGGGGTCAAGAAGGGGGACCCCTGGGCTGGCCTTGGCTGGGGACAAGGACATTGGGGGCTGTAAGAGCAGCTGGGATGAGCTTCCTGGAAAAAAATACCACATGAGCTAATGGCAGCCTTGCAAGATGAACAGGGGTTTACTTGGCCAAAAAGCAAAGGTTCTGGAGAAAGCATGTCAGCAGGGGTGGGGGTGGAAGGTACCCGGGAGCAATGAGGAAGTGCCCAGCCCACCTAGTGTTTCCAGAAGCTCTGCCTCTGAAGTCCAGGAGCCCCACTAAATGCAGGCCCTACATCTCGGCATGCAGCTGAACTGGCTCCTCAGCAAGATTAAAAGGCCCTTGCAAGCAGGGACCGGGCCGCTGTAAAAACAAGAGCTGGCATTTACCAAGCTCTTGGTGTGGCTTTGCCAAGCATCTAATGCTGTCGTTAGGATTACACTCCCTTTACAAATTAGGAAGCTGGAGACTGGAGTGGGTCGTGGCCGAGCTGGGATTTGAACCAGAGCTGCTCAGCTTCAAAGCCAGAATCATCACTCTCTTCACCAATTGGTGCTGCCTTGCTACCCCACAGGTCCTCTGGCTCCAGCAGGGCACCCAGCTAGAGGACTCTAATACAGTTGGTTGACTGATTCTTGGACTAAATGGGCACATGCACACAGCCCTGCTTCTCCAACTTCCCTTTTCTTCCCCGTTAGGTATCTGTGAAGCTAACCAGAGCTACCAATCCAGACCAGCCCATGAGCGAGGCTCAGGGCCATGAGGTGTGCAAGGTTCAAAGGACAATGGCTTGCGGGTGGTGGGAGAGGAAAGGAAGCCTTCAAGCAGGGGCTCTAAATAACCAGAGGCCACGGAGAGGCAGTGCTGGGAGATCTGTTGACATCAGGCATCCAACAATCACCTGCTTGGCCTGCATGCAGACCATGGGGGTGCAGACCCCTGCCCTAGGATGCTGGGTCCAGAAATTCAGGCTGCAAACCCAGGAATCTGCATTTTGAGGAGTTCTCCAGGTGATCCTGTAAGTTCAGAGAGACATCAGTGGATCAAGTAGACAGAGCTGAGCATCTGACCAGGGTCAAATCCCAACCTCCATCTCTTGGCTGTGTGATCTTGAGTGACTTTCTTGACTCCTCTGAACCTCAGATAAATAGAAGGCAAAGCTTGGGGCCCATTTATTTTTCCAGCTCTCCACTGAAATGACAGGGAAAGCACTGCACATATAGTGCTGGTAAAAGGACCACACATGAGCATCTATGGGCTTGGCACTGGGGGTGCAACAGTAAGTAAAAAAAATGGGATGGGGCCTGGATGGAGGGGGGCGGTTACAGCCTAGTGACCCATCCAGAGTCAGCAAGTTTGTCTGCTAGCCACAGGTCAGGCTCTCCTGGGAGCCCACTTCTAACCCCGAGGCCAGCTGGCTCTGGCTGGAAGGCGGCTCCAGCCTGCCCAGCCACACCGCACCAGGAGAGCTGAGTCACGGAAAAAGTTAGTTCTTCAGGCTGGACCTCACCTCCCTCCTCCATCAAGCCCACAAAGGCTCCTTTCACGTTTGCAGGAGGGGGACAAAAACTGTGGGGCCCTCTCCCCACGCTGGGATGGGAAATTTCAGACTTCACTCTGGAGTTAATGTCCCAGCCCCCACCCCAAGGAAACTACAGGGAAGGGGGACCAGGAGCAAAGGACAGGGGATGGTGGGTGGGTCCCGTCCTGTGCAGTTCTCACGGAGGCCAGGCCACAGACACCTTCTGGCTCAGCCTGCTGAACCGTGCACCCTGCAGCCCAGTATCCCCTCGACCTCACCATCCACTTCCTGGGGGAAGCGTGCAGAAGGTGATAGCACGTCTCCAGGCAGCTGATGGTGGAGCCTGAGCCTCACAGGGATGCCAGGCCCTCAAAACTCACATCCTGAAAGTGGAACACGTAGAAAAAAGGTGTCTTCTTCCCAGCCACGGTCCAACCTCCAAACCCTCTCAGGATCGCCTAGCTGGTTCCTTTTTTTCTCAGATTTTGCCCCAAGCCTGATGGCTAGGAGAGCTAAGAGGAGCACCCTACGTGGCCTTGCTTGAGTGAATCAGATGTGCCATGCCTCTGTTTCCTCTTGTATTAAGTGGGAGCTATGACACCCACCTCAGGCTGGCTCATTTCTTAAATGACATATGTGTAAAGGGCCTGATATGCTGAAGGTCAGTCTGGGTTCTCAGCCTCCTTCTTGCCCAGGGCCTCCCCTCCATCCCAAAGGCACACCCAGGGGCTATGTAAGCACACGTGGTGCTCACCAGCTAGTCTGGCCCCTCAACAGTAATAGGCAGGATCAGGGGACATAGGTGACCATGGTACTGTGCTCATGGGCTACTTAACAAAAACCGTCTCAGTGGCCTCCTTCATAAAGCAATGGGGGCGTGGGCAGGCGGGGCTAGGATCTTCACCAGCACTCTCAGGTTTGGGGTGTTACCCTTATGTGGAGTGAAAGGTCTCCAAGTAAAGGATAGTCAGGGGTAGCTGGAAGGTGTGGTGCTGGAGGCTGCAGCAGCTGGGAGGCGCAGTGTCACACTCAGGCCACTAGGCGGCTTCGAGGCTAACAGATGGGAGCCGGCTGCGTGCACCCGGTTCCAGGTGGACTTGCCCAGTCCTCTTCACAGGCCCGCAGACACCAGCCGACCCTGGGTGGGGAGGACCAGCTTGTCCAGGTTGGGATTTCTTTTCCGTTTTTACAGACCTCCGAGGTGGAAGGAGGCAGTCACTTTGATAAGAGTCCTGTCTTTAGCTATGGCCTGGGAGTCTGATGAAGGCAATAGTCTGCCCTCAAATCACACCTTTGGAGGGCTGGATGGTGGGCAGTGGGAGGGAGCCTCACCCTCTACCTCCTCCCTCCCTCCTGCCCCAGTGAGGCCCAGTGGGAAGGGAAGGGGCATCGTGTCTGTATTTAGGTCCCTCCCTCCTGCATTTCCTGGCTGGGTAACCAGGAAAAAGAAGATAACAGTTAATACCCCCATTGCAAGGTCAGTGGGAGGATAAAATGTTAGAATATAATAAGCCCTAAATGTAGGCAAGTTTCTCCTGCAACCCCACCCTTCCAGAACCCTTTTGTTCTTCCAGCAGCTCTTGGGATAATGAGTTTCCCAATTCACCTGCAAACTTCTTCCCAGAACTACAGGGTCTCTGTCCAGGAAGTAATCCCCAGCCCTTCCTCCCCAAATCTGCTTTTCTCAGTGCGACTTTCTTACCCCATCCTCAGCAGAACTACCAGGCTGAGCATTAAACGTAGAGATTCCATTGCTCCCAGTCCCGCTGAATCAGAATGTCTGGGAGTGAGGCCTGAACATGTTTCCTGTTGGAGAACCACTTCCCCAAATTACAGGGCAGCTGCCTAGTTCTCCTGGCCTGGGACTGTCAGGGCAGCAGGAGGCACGTCCCATCAGCACTTTTAACTGGGGCTGCTTTTTAGTGACTCACCTCCCAGACTTCCTGCAGCAGACAACTCTAAATAGCTGGGTCCCACCCTCCAGCAGGGGAGCCATTCTTGTTGGGGGAGGGCAGGAGGTTACAAGGTGGGTGCCAGGCTCGAGCAGACTACGTGTACCCAAAGAGAGACGACACTGCTTGCACAGTACAAGCGGCACTGGTTTAGGACGTTTTGTTTACAGGCTTTTGTTATTAAGGAACTTGCTGTCAGTCAAGGTAATTCTAGCCCAGATGAGCAATAAATATGCTCCCAGCTAATCTTATGGGGATTTTGTTGGCACCTTGGGGGCAGAGGTTCCTTTTCCCTGCTCACACCCCACCCCCACCCCCGCTCACCCAATGCAAATCATGTTTCCCAGCTGTTTCCCCCAGCAACCGGAGGGACTCGCTCAGGGCTGACTTAGAAAGTGCACTTATCTAAGTGGAGACAGAAGACGTCTAGGCAAGGGTCGGTGGCTTCCCGGTCCTACCCGGGGCCAGGGGATGAGCAAATGACCGGCAATATAGACCCTGGCCGACCTGATAGGGTCAAAGCATGCGCGAGCTCCCCCGGGCCTGCTCCGCTCACAGGGACGGTCACCTGGCACGCGGGCCGGGGAGACACGGTCCCGGGCTAGGAGGAATGTCTCCAGGCGGGAGCCGATTTGCAGGAGTCCGTTCCAGCGTGTTCGAGTTACGGCTGCGAGCCCGGAGGGACACCGCCGGCAAGTCTCGGCTTGCCGAGAGGGGAGCCAGGCCCGGGAGAGCGCAAGTCGGAGCGAGCCCGGGTGCGCGCCCGCGCGCGCGCCCCGCGACAGCGCAGGGGGAGGGGTGGCGGCGGCAGCCACTCAGAGGAACCTTAGTGAAGCCTCCGAACAACTTTAACTGTCAATCAGACTTAATGGGGTATTAAAAAAATGGGGGGGAAAAAGGGCCGCCCTCCAGCTCAGCGCGGCTGCTGCCCAGAAAGCGAATGAATAAGGCGGCGCAGACTAGGGCGTCCGATCCACGCGCGCTCCGCTCCAGGACCCTCTCCAAGTTGGGAAGGACAAAAAAGAAGGCAATAAATGCTAACAAGGGAGAGAGAGGAGCCGGATCGAGCGGCAACTCCCAGCCTCCGCTGGAGGAGTGAGGGAGGGAGCCGGGGAGAGCGAGCGCGCGCGAGGGCGAGCCATGCACGGAAAGAAACTGACACCCGGACCCCCCACTTCTTCTGCACGTTGCTGGCAATCAGATCGCGTTTAAGCAATTTCCTGAGCCCAAGAATAGCAATGAGTCGGGAGACTTTCGCGGGCTGAAATTGGGAGCTACAAGCACTTTTCCCCAGACTTTTTTTTTTTTTTTTTCTGGAGAAGGGGGTGGGGAGCGCTACAAATTTGGAAACGGCGTTTTTTGTTCTGTTTTGGTTTTTGGTTTTGGGTTTTTTTTTTAATCTTGCACTTTGAAACCGCGGGACTGTAGCACGGTGCGCGCGTGTGGTTGGTGCTTTTTTTTTTTTCCTTTTTTTTCCCCTTCCCCTTCGTAAACTCCTCTGTCAGCCTGTAAACATTACCTGAGAATTCCCCAGCCGAAACGGCTGCTGGGGCAAGAAACTTCTTGTTAGAACTTTCCACCTCCGGCTGCCCCCTCACCCCTCTTACTGTCCCAACCTTCTGAGACGCTTTTTCTCCTCCCGAGGAGGATTTTTTTCTTTTCTTTTTCCCTTTTTCTCACCCGGTGCTTTGCATTTGGGAAGAGGTGATTTCAGGAGTGGCCAGGTGGGACGCCTCTCTCCCCCTTATTCGGTTTATTTATTATTTTGGGGGGTGTTTTTTTTTTAATTCCTGTTTTGTTCGGTCCGGGGAGTTTCGCCCCCTGCCCGGCTCCGCGGCGCGGAGGATGGTGTGGAAATGGCTGGGCGCGCTGGTGGTGTTCCCTCTGCAGATGATGTATCTGGTGGCGAAAGCAGCCGTCGGACTGGTGCTGCCCGCCAAGCTTCGGGACCTGTCGCGGGAGAACGTCCTTATCACCGGTGGCGGGAGAGGCATCGGGCGCCAGCTCGCCCGCGAGTTCGCAGAACGCGGCGCCAGAAAGGTACCGAAGCACAGCGACTCCAGGGGGTGGGGGCTGAAGGTGTAGGGAACCCCTGGGTCGGGGGCGGTGCGTCCACCTGCTGCGGCCGCCCGAACCGCCGTCGGGGTCTGAGAGTCGCCGGCCACCCTACGTCTCGGCGCCACGCGGGAGTGCTGAGCTAGTCAGTTTCACCTTGTAAATTTCCCGGGCACCATCCTGTCTTTTTTGGCAGGTCCGAAGTTGATCCTCTTCTTTGGGATCGGTGGCTGGCTGGCCGTTCACCCCCACCCCGAAACTTAGGAGATCCACCCATTTCCCACATTGCGCCCTCCCGAAGGAAGGTGTTGTGTTTTGCCTCCTCGGCTTCCCCTCTTTGCCACCACCCTAGTGAGTGCAAGGTGTGTGCGCTCCTGGGTAGAGCTGGGAGTCGCCTGCTAGCAGGCACTTGGTATTTTCCTTGGCAACCCGCTTCCCAGGCCCGACCTGAGCAGCTGTAGCTCTAGAGGCACTAAGAGAGGGTTTAGTTGGTTTGGGCTTAAAGGGGGGTGGAGGGAGCGGTCTTGGATGTCTAGCCTGGCCTGACAAGCACTCAGAGGCCCAGGTGTTTTTGAAAATCTGGAAAGGGGAACTGGGTAACCAGCAGCTGCTAAAGAGCCCTGTTCTCACCTTCAACCCTGCCAGCGCCCCCCTCCCCAGACACAGCCCCAGAGGGCATCCCTCCCCATTAAGTGGGGAGGTGGCACTGTGTGGGGGCCTCCCCAAGTGCTGCCTTTAACTTTAGTAAAGTTGCAGCATCTCTTCCTCCAGTTTTCCCAGACCTGGTGCCGGGGAGCGGGGAGGGTGAGCCAGCTGTCACCCAACTCCTACCCAAGCTAGGCTGACTCACCCAGTGACTAGGGCAATGGAGAACAAGATTGGGGGCCGGCGGGCTGGGCTGTCTCCAGCCAGCCCTGTGAAGAGGAAGAGAGAAAACAGAGAATTAGTTTGAAACTTAAACTGTTGTGAGCGAAGGGGTTGAAAGGGCCAGCGAAGCCAGCTGATCTGACATGGAGCCGCATACCTAGGGGATTAAGTAAATATGTACTGTAGAAAACCAAACCTGCATGTAATTCCAGGTTGCTTTTGTTTTGTTAAATACTGCCCTGAGATTTATAATTCCTCCGGGGTGGCTCTGACGGGGACTGAACTTTGGAGCCCGACTATCAGCCAAAGCGGATCACCCATTAACTCTTTCCTGGCCGAGCCGGCAGGGGACGGTGGGGGTGATGGTGGCCCGTGGTGGCCCAGCTAGCCGGAGTCCTGTCACGGCTCCTGCTTCTCCCTGGGTGGTTTGGACAGCTGCTTGACCTTGCCGTTGGCAGGGGAGTTCGGAAGTGTTTTTTTTTTTAACCCTTGGACACACCGAAAAAGGAGAAGTTAAGAGTTGTTCTCAGCAGTTTCATTTCCGTGGGGTGATGCCTCGTTGAAGGGCCCCCAGAGCCCTTTGTGGAGGGGAATCTGAATGGCGGGTGAGGGTGTCCTTGCTGGGGATGTGGGGTTTGGAACAATCGGGTGTGTTTGTCATTCCTTAGCTGTCTGCATGCCACAGGAACTTTCTCCCGACTCTTCCAGCTGGCCCAAGTCCTGGGTCTCTTTTACTGCTCTTGTAACTGGCTGTAAGAACTCCGTCGGTCAATCTGGAAAAACTTGACTGACTATAAACAATCCTAAATTGAACGAAGTATATGGCACTGGGGGGAGGAGCAGAAGAGAACAGAGCAGCATGCTGTAAGTTCACGCACTGGGAGCCACGCCCCTCCTAACCTGGAATGGACATCGTCTTCCAGGCAATAAACCCAGGGCCAATTAGAAATGTATCTTAAATTTGTATTGGCTCACCAGATACAGACTCCTCGGGGAGGCCTGTGAAACGTCCAGTACCATTCACTCTAGGTTCAGTCCTCAGAACAGTCAGGGTGACCGAGAGTGCTTGCCGTATGACTTAGCAACTATCTATCTGAGCAAATTACCAGAGCTACTTTTGAATGTGCCTTCTGCTTGCTGTCAGGGCAGGGGCGGGGCGGGGGGCGGGGCTTTGGAATCTGGCCGAGTCCGTCTGGGGCCAGGGAGAAGGCCTTGGAGCGAGCTCCGGAGCAAGGGTATTTGGGGCCCAGTGGGCTTGGGGACAAAGAGCCAAGTGTTTGGAGCGGGGAATTTACAGGAGCCGGCCAAGCGGGCTGGGTGAGGGGTGGGCTGAGGGGTCCACCTGGAGCCGCTGTAGAGAGCCGGGCAAGGCGGTGCCACCCACAGCCTGCAGAGCTGACACAGCTGCAGTGCCGAACCACCGATGGCTCTCCTGCCTTGTTGAGGCAGAGGCTGCATCTGAGAGCCCTTCCAGCCTGCGTTCCGGTGGGCCTGGACCTGGAAAGGAAAAGCCTCCAAAAGGCAAAAAAGGAAGGGGGACCCGAGCCCCTGCAAATAGCTGGTGTACCCCAGCTGTTTGGTCACTTAGGCTGCAGGGGCAGGCGTGGGTGACAACCCAATTTCCCATCATGACCTTGAGTCAAACCGGATTTGGCCATGTTTATGGGTGGTAGGGTACTTTTGGCTGCAAAGGTGACCCAAATGAGGGTTTTTCTTAAAGGCACCCAGAGGCTCCAGGAGCTGGGATGTTCTTCATGTGGAGGAACTGGCCAAGACATGCAGAGGGTAACTGAGGGAGGGAGGGTCAAGGTCGGGTGTCCGAGGAAAAGGCGCTTGCTGGATTATTGCCCACTACACTCCTTGTTTATTTTCTGTGTCCCCCTGAAATTCCTATCATGAAAGCATTTACAGAGCTTGGGCTGGTCCCTCTTCCCCCAAAAGCTCCTGGCTAGTTAGTTGGCTGGCCCAGCCTCCAAAGTCTTTGACTTGGGTGTGGATTTAGATGGGGTCCCTGGAGGAGGAGGAGTGGCCTGTTTGTTTGGCAGTATTTGCAGTGGCAGGTCCAGCCTTTGCTCCAGTAGGAGACTCCAGCTGGACCGGAGTCCTGGGCTGCGAGTCCAGGCCTGTGGAGGCAGGGGCAACAGATGAGGGCCCTACACCACGGAGGGGTAGAGCCAGGACTCAGGGTCCCTTTCATCTCAGGGAGGTAGCATGAGAATTGGCTCAGAGTTGCGTCCACCTTCCTGTTATTGAATTTACAGTATGTGAGTCTATAGCCCTGCTCCTAAAGCAGCTAGCCATGACATAGCCCTTCGTGTAGATCTGTGAATCCTATTTTCCATCACGTCCATCCAGTAAGTCTCATATCCCTCCCATTCCTGGCTCTGGGGCAGGCCCAGGCACATCTACCCCTTGCTGACCATCTTTGGGAGACCTCGTTCAGCAAACCTGCCTGAGGTGTCTGTCAGGTGTTTGGCCCAGCTCTGGCCCTGGAGACGAGAAGGTACAACAAACAAATAAATGCTGGATAAAGACCCAGAGACGAAGCCAGTCAAGGCGCAAATTACAGCCTGTATTACTTTCTTGTGGCCACCATAATAAATTCCTGCTAATTTGGTTAAGTTAAACAACAGAAACTTATTCTCTCATAGTTCTGGAAACCTGAAGCCAGAAGTCTGAAATCAAGGTGTGGGCAGGGCCCCGCTCCCTCCAGACTCTAGGGAAGGATTCTTCCTTGGCTTTTCCAGCTTCTGGCAGCCCATGGTGTTCCCTGATTTGGGGCTGCATCACCCCAACCTCTGCCTCCATCTTCGTGTGGCCTCATGAAAAGGACTCTGTCTCTGTGGTGTCCTCTCTTCTTCTTATAAGAACACCAGTCATTGGGTTCAGGGCACACTTTAAATCCACTATCATCTCATCTCATGACCTTTAACTAATTACATTTCCAAAGACCCTATTTCCAAATAAGGTCACGTTTTGAGATTCTGAGTAGACATGGATTCTGGGTGAGGGGGTGGCAGGGGGAGCTGGGGGGACACTAGGCAGTGGAAGCCTAGTGGAACTGTTAATCTGTAACAAGTGCTCATGGAAGGCTTCATAAAGGAGGCAGCATTTGGGGGGGCCTCGAAGGTCAAGAGTTTCAACTATTGTCCAGTTGGATAGGGATCTGGGAAGCTGAGCAGGAAGTTTGTATCTCAGACTCTGAGTTAGGTCAGTACTGATGAGAATAAGAAAAAGAAAGAGAGGAGGAGGGTCCAGGTAGGCACTCTTGTGGGACCTAGGGTGAGTCATCAGGCCAAAATCTCTGCCTGAGCCAAGTGGTGTGTGATGGTCACAAAGACAGAGGGACACGAGAGACAGAGGTGGCCTGTCTCCCTTGTCCTCACCCTGAATGCAGGCCTAGCTGGGAATTTATCAGGAAAGTACCAAGCTCCATTTGATGCAGCCTGGGAGCAGGAAGGTATAGAGCCATGGCATCTTGGAAAAGTCTTTCAGCTTGTAGCACCTGGTCCTTGGGTTTCAAACAACAGGCCTTAAAATTGCATGAATGGACAAACACCTTCCTCTTATTACCCCATTCCCTTCCCCGGGGAACAAAAGCACCCACCTCTGGGGCCATGCCCCCTGCAGCCTGGCACCCCTGGGATAATGGGTTCTTGCCTGGCTCTGCTGCCACCCTGGAAAAGTAACTACCTTTCTGGGCTGCAGCTAAGAAGCACACCTATAAAATGAGAGGAGGCACAGTGATCTCCAAGATCCTGCATGCTCTCAAACTCACGTTATGGATCAGCCATCTCAGGAAAGCCACAGATTGCCAAGCGCCCTGAGTTGGGAGGAGCAGACGTCTGTGAAACACGTTTGTTCTCATCACTGGGGATCTCAGCCCGTCTTGCTAGTCCCGCAGATCCACTGAATGAAAAAGACGCAAGTCTGGGTTGGGAAGCGTGCCCTCCATCTCACGCTCGTTGCTGAACTGCCTTGACTGCCACCGAGTAGCTGTCTGCTGTGGATTTATTTCAGCTCTTGTAGGAGATGTTAATGTTTGCGACCTGTAGCTTTCAAGGGAACATTCAAATTTCCCAACTAGCCTGTCAAGCAGAACTTCCCATTTTTAATCT